AAATAAGGTACAGGTCATCCTTGTGGGGGTGGGACCATGGAAATATGGTATATGAAACCCTATTGTGGGGACTGGTCCATTTTGTCATTCTGCTAGGCTTAAAATAAGCCTTCCGAGAGCAGAAGTGGGGATCTCACTGCTATCAAGCAAGATGAGCTAGAGGCAGAGTGGAGTGCATCCTTGGATCTGAGATATCTGTGCTGGACCTCCTTGGCAGAGAGACCAGCAGAGTTAGCAGAGAGATGTAGGCAGTGGAACCAAGAGGCACAAGGCAGAGCCGTGTGCTTGCCAGCCCATGAAGCAGGAAAACTGAGTTCCTTTGAACAGGAGACTTGCTCTTGGTGTGGGGTACATCTAGGTACCTACTGGCAGAGCTTAAAGAACTTTGTTAACACTTGCCTAAGCAGGGCAGAGGCCAAGGGCTAAAGAGAGACACGCCTGTGGGCATAGCAGAGGAAAGACTGTCCTGATCAAAGAGCTACCCTGAGCACGTTCATGAACCTTAATTGTAACCTATTACTTCCCTAATAAACCCCACAATCATAAGTATTGTCTGTGAGTTCTGTGTGGCCACTGCAATGAATAATCAAATCCAGCAGAGAAGCAGTGAGTGCCGTGAGAGGGAGAGATGGTGTCAGAGTTGATAAAAAGTTTGGAGGGTGGCAGCATGTCTGGCCTCATAGGAATAACCCCTGGGCTGCTGGATGGTGATTCTGTCTCCCTCTTGTGAAATTAGAGGATGTCAAAAGACACTGCCCCCATGTCCTTTTTGCAGTGCCTCAGGCACTTGACAGCTAACCAGAAGACTGGTGGTTCAAACCCACCAGCCACTCCTCAGAAGAAAGGTTGAGCAATCTACTTCTGTGGTGATACTGCCTCAAAAACCCAAGGAGGGGTCGCTATGAGTCAGGTCCGACTTGATGGCACATAACAACATCCACATTGTATAACAATTCTTATAGAAAAAAAGTTAAATAAAGTAACTCTTTCAAGGACAAATTATAGTATACATGCATAAATTTAAAGTTTGAAAAGTATAACTACAGAGTATAATTTTAAAACTGTCACACTATTAAACATCAACAGGTTGACATAACATCTGTTCTTCAATTTTTCATCCAAGTTGTTATGGTAACCACAATATGCAGTATATGTGTTTCCTAAATTTATTATCAGCTTATTAACTAATAATAATATTATTATTACTACAAACTTGCATTGATCCTTTTTAAACACTAAGGTATCATACTTACGATTATATTTAACTAGGCATTTATACATGCCTTATCTCAGAATCTACATTTAAAAAGAAATAGCAATGGTATATATTTTTTTTCCAATTTAAGGGCATTTTCTTGATTTAACAAAAAAGGAAATAGTACACTTTCTGAAGAATGTTATATATTAAATACAAAAATTATATAACAGTACTGCTTTGTAGGAGCTGTCAATTATGTCCTTTTCAAACAAGTCAGTTCCTGTCACTCCACCCCTCTGCTCAAAACCTTCACTGGCATCCCATCTCTGAGAAAAAGCCAAAGTCCTTACAGGGGCTACAAGGTCCATACCCCCATGCTCTCCTTGCTCATCCCACTCTAGTCACTAGGATTTTCTTGCTGTTCCTCAAATATGCTAGGTTCACTCCAGCTGCAGGGCCTTTTACTTACTATTGCCTCTGTCTGGAAGGCTCTTCCTCCAGACTGTCATCTGGCTCATGCTTTTATTTCAACTTCTTATTCAAATATTACTTGTTTAGTGAAATCTTCTCTGACCCACCGTATTTTAAAACTCTATTTTATCACCCCCCTCCCATCTTTGTTTTCATATTACCTATCCCTCTTAGTTCCTCCTTTATTTTTTTCCCTAATACTTATTACTTACTTTTATACTATAAGGAGTCCTGGTAGTGCAGTGGTTGAAACACTTCGCTGCTAACCAAAAGGTTGGCAGTTCAAACCCATCGACCCCTCCACACAAGAAAGACATGGCAGTCAGCTTCAATAAAGATCTACAGCCTTAGAAACCCTATGGGAGAAGTTCAATATTGTCCTATAGGATCACTATGAGTCAGAATTGATTTAATGGTTGTGGTTTTGGTTTTTGATTTGTTATGCTATATATCAGTAATCTATTCTGTATATTATTAGTTTATTCTAATTATTATCTGCCTTCCTTACCTTAGAATAAGCTCCATGAGGGTAGAGATTTTTATCTATTTTGTTCACGGCACCTACATCTACATATACAATGTGATCAATGAATATTTGTTAAATTCATAAAGTATAAATTAAAAACATCTTAAATGTTGATATGCTATGGTAAGAAAAATACATTTTTGTGATGATATTCAAGGAATCCACAGTAAGAAGCAAAGATAGGTAATTTTCAGTAAGTTAAAACACCTAAGTTATCATATTATGTGTTCTGATCATTAAAAAAAAAAAAAAACCTTACTGCCATCAAGTCGATTCCAACTCATAGAGACCCCTGCTGGGTTTCCAAGGTGGTAAATTTTTAAGGAAGTAGATTGCCCCATATTCATTCTGCGGAGTGGCTGGTGGGTTTGAACCACCAACTTTATGGGTGACAATCAGCTACCTTAGGCACTGCACCATGAGAGCTCCTTGTTCAAATCACAGAACCACAGAATTTTGATTCTTGGTTCTCACATGAGCCACATTATTTGATCCACTACAAGCTTTTTCTCCTACCAATTACATGTGGAAACCAAGTAATACTGTTCCTCTGTCCTGGATCTTATTCTCTACTCACTTCCCATGTAAACTCACACACTCTAAATGCATCACCTCTTTTTAAGTAACTTTGAAATCCTTATTTCTGGCCTACACTTATCTGTGCTCTGTTCCTGTATTTCTAACTTTTTTTGAGATATACATCACTTCAGGTATATTGTCAAGGAAGTCAAAGGACAATGGAATTAGGTAGAATATAACATTGTACTCATTTCATTTTTTTAAAAAAATTAGTCTTTAGTTGTAAAAAGACTCACATAATTCTATATATTGCCCAAGGAATTGCTTTCTTTCATTATAGAAATTAGACCTATGATAGTAGGGAATTCCAATCTCTGAGTTATGACTATGTATTCTAATTAACAATATCAGCTTCACTTCAACCACTGAATTATTCCCAATATTGTAATAGAGTTTTATAACTTTCAAATTGAATTTAATCACTTGGGGGGAGAAATGTAAGAAATTATATGAGATTTTCAAATTAAGTTTTTGAACTAGTACAGTTTATTTTTAGAAGAGAAATATCTTCAATATTTTTTCTTCATCATCAACCTCTAAATAACATGTTTCTCCAATTATTTTTCTTCATACTCACTAATCAATTCATTATTATTTTAAAGACTTCTCTAAAGCATCTCCCCCCCCCCAATCTCTCTGCATATCCTTAGTAATCTGGTGATGAAATGACAGTTGAGAATTTACGACAGACTTCAGATGAAAGGTGCTTAGTAGAACTCACTATCTACTTTAAACAAACCACATATTTTTAGAATTTTACTGAGCAAAAATAAAAAGGAAATTCCAAGAGAAAACGGTGTGGTCATTATGGCTTTAGACAGAAGCTAAACCCTCCAAATGTGGTGAAAAGGTCCCTAAGCCTTGGGTCACACGAGGGAGTAAAAATCAGTTACTGATGAAACATATTCTGTCCTAGTCCTATATTGCTTTTAAGAAAAATGATTACTATACATTATACAAGTAAATGCCACTGTTGTTTTTTTCTCAAATATTTTTTCCCTTCAATTAATAGTACAAATGAAATTTGAGTATTAAGAACCCCAGGAGCTCTGGTAGCATAGTGCCTAAGGCATTTGACTGCTAACCGGAAGGCTGGCAGTTCAAACCCACCAGCCACTCCTCGGAAGGAAGGTTGGGGAACCTACTTCCGTAGTGATACTGCCTTGGAAACCCAAGGAGGGGTCGCTATGAGTTGGGTCCGACTTGATGGCACACAACAACAACATTAAGAACCCCTATCTAGTTGTCCCTAATGCATCGAGAATACCCAAACTATCACCAAATCCTGTCACCACTACTTTCAAAACATATCCAGAATCTCACCACTTTTCTTCACCTCTTCTGCTACCATCTTGATCCAAAACACCATTATTTCTTGCCAGGATTACTGCAAAAGCCTCCTAGACAGAGTCCCTGATTCCATTACCCTTGCTCCACTACAGCCTACTCTCCACACAGCAGCCCTGTATAACACACCAAGTTACTCTTCTGCTCAGAACCCTCTACTTGCTCAGTTTCCCATACAATTTGGAGTAAAATTCATCATTATAACAGTCTGGTTCTCCTATACATTTTTGGACTCATCTTAAACCATTCTATTTCTTTCTCATTCCATTCAGAGCCAATGTCTATCTTGCTATTCCTTGAACACACCAAACATATTCTTACCTCAGATCCTGTGCTTTTGCTACTTTCTCAGCCTTAAAGGCTCTTCCTTTCACAAGACTTACTCCTCTGCTTCCTTCCAGACTCTCCTCAGTGAAGCTTTCTTTGACAATGTCACATAACATAGCATCCCTTCTCTACTGCCCTATTATACCCATATCTTTTTGCATAGCTCACTGACCATTATTTTTAACAATAAGCTTAATCACTAAGAAAAGATTAAATTATGATCAACATGTTGTAAAAAGATATGACTTCTTTGTTTAAGAAGGCGAAGGAAAATTTTAGACTTTCATCAAATCAGCTAAAATTAAAGGAATGATACTAAAAACTTAATACTTCACCACTGAGAAAAGTTAACTATACATATCAATTTATTCTTCAAGACTAGTGGACAAGTGAGGTGTTATTTTTCAGTCAAATCCTTTAAAACCTAGTAATTCATAATTACAATAATCAAAATAGTTGACAGGCTAGAACTCTATAAGCATAAGAAATAATAGAACTAAAAATAAATGATACAGTAAACACAATTCCTGGCCTTCTATAGTGCTATCTTACCTGAGGTATAAGTCTATCCAAGTGCTCAGCTCGATTTCCATGAGAAGGGTGTGTAGATAACCATTCTGGTAACTTGGGCTGACCCTGGAGCCTATCTGCAAACTCCATCTGCTGCCAAAATACTGTACTGGCTCTGACATCCACACAAGCCTAAAACCAAAGTTAGTAAAAGCACAAAATGAGTTTAGTTAGTCAGCAAATTGTGGAGAGTTCTTAAATTCTACCTTTATGTCACTAAAAGCAGTCTAGTTGCTGCTGAGTATATTCTGACTCATGGTGGCCCTCTGTGTATCAGAGTAGAACTGTGCTCCATAGGGTTTTCAATGCCTGATTTTTCAAAAGTAGATAGCCAGATCTTTTTTCCCAAGGCACTTTTGGGTGGACTTGAAACTCCAATATTTCAGTTAGCAGTTGAGCATAGTAACTGCTTATACCACCGATGGACTCCTTTATGCCACTAAATGTTTTAAAACATTGTCTATCATTCCTTCAATAAAAGTAGAATTTTGTCATTGCTCAAAAGAAAGAAAGAAAATTGCAATCAGAAATACCATTTGACCCAACCATTCCATTACTAAGTATATATCATAAAGAAGTGAGACCAGGACAAGAATAGACATATGCACATCCATGTTCATCACAGCACTACTTAAAATAACAAAAAGATGGAAATAATCTAGGCACCCATCAACAGAAGAATGGATAACCAAACTATGATACATACACACAATGGAATACTATGCAACCCTAAAGAATAATGCAGAATCTACAAAACACCACATAATGTGGATGAACTTGGAGGACATTATGCTGAGTGAAAAAAGCCAACCACAGAAGGACAAATATTATATTAGTTTGTTATTGTAAAAAGTCAAGGGGAGGTTTATATATGGAAGGAAATTTTCTTTGTTGGTTACTAGGGTGGGAGGGGAGGGAAGGGAACACCATTAGATAGGTAGAGAGAAGTATCGATTTGGGTGAAGAGAAGAACAAAGTATCAAATGTGAGTGATCAACATGGTGGTGTTGAGGAAAAGAAAGACATAGAGAGATGCATGGGAGGTATAGACAACAAAGATGAACCCTTCTGCACACACAGTACTGCACTGTCAGTGAAGGCAAACATGGATATATGGGTGGACAGATGGGTGGACAGGCTAAATGATTACGAATGTCTATGGAGGGGGGAGTGTGCCCAAGACCATGGATAGGGTTGGCAGACAATGCTTCTACAAGCGTATTGGTATATTCTGTAAGAATTCCCAGGTATATAGTACAGCTGACAAGGGATAAGGTTGTAGTCACTTCTTGGCCACAGCCAGCTACCCAGAGAGAGAGAGTAGCTGGACCTATGGGCTCAGGACCATAGTCACAGGGGACATCAAGCTCAATTAGCATAGCATACGACACAAAACATTGTTCCACATCCTACTTTGGTGAGTAGCAAGTGGGATCTTAAAAGCTTGCAAGCAGCCATCTAGATGCAATGATGGGTCTCTCCTCGTCCAGAGCAAAGAAGAATGAAGAAAACCCAAGATGCATGGAAACAGTCCAAGCGACTAGTACACCATGTGATCCTCAGCCTATAGAATTATGAGACCACAACTAGATGGTGCCTGGCTACTGCTGTCAACCACTAGGAGTGGGATCTATGTAGGAGATCCTAGATGTTGTTGTTGTTGTCGTTAGATGCCATTGAGTCATCTCTGACTCATAGTGACCTTATGCACAGCAGAACAAAATACCACCCGGTCCTGTGCTAGCTCTGCGATCCCTGCTACAGTTGAGCCCACCGCCACAGCTACTGTGTCAATCCATGTCATTGAGGGTCTTCCCCTCCTTTGTCAACCCTCCACCTTACCAAGCATGACATCCTTCTCCAGAGAATGGTCCCTTCTGACAGCATGACCAAAGTAGGTGAGACCAAGTCTGGCCATTCTTGCTTCCAAGGAGCATTCTGGCTGCACTTCTTCCAGGACAGATTTCTTATTCTTTTAGCAGTCCACGGTACTTTCAGCATTCTTTGCCAGCACATCTCAAAAGCATCAATTCTTCTTCGGTCTTCTTTATTCATTGTCCAGCTCTCACATAGGAAGTGAACGAAAATATCATGGCTTGTGTCAGGCACACCCTAGTCCTCAAGGAGACATCTTTGCTCCTCAGCACTTGAAAGAGGTCCTTTGCAGCTAACTTGCCCAGTGCTATACGTTGTCTGGGAGCTCTGGTAGCATAGTGGCTCAGACACTTGCCTGCTAACCAGACGGCTTGCGGTTCAAATCCACCAGCCACTCCTCGGAAGAAAGGTTGGGCAATCCTACTTCCGTAGTGATACTGCCTCGGAAACCCAAGGAGGGGTTGCTATGAGTCGGGTTTGACTCGACGGCACATAACAACAACAACAACAACATACGTTGTCTGATATCCTGACTGTTGCCTCCATTGACATTGACTGTACAACCAAGCAAGGTGTAGTCTTTAACAACTTCAATCTTTTCTCCATTTATCATGATGCTACTTATAAGTCCAGTTGTGAGAATTTTTGTTTTCTTTATATTGAGATGTAAACCATACTACAGACTGTAGTCTTCAATCTTTACCAGTAAGTGCTTCAAGTTATCCTCACTTTCAGCAAGCAAAGTTGTGTCGTCAGCATATCGCAGGTTGATAATGAGCCTTCCTCCAATTCTGATGCTACGTTCTTCTTCATGTAATCCAGCTTCTCGGATATTTGCTCAGCATATAGATTGAATAAGTATGGGGAAAGGATACAACCCTGACATACTCCCTTCCTGATTTTAAACCATGCAGTGACCCCTTGTTCTCTTCAAACAGGTCTATGTACAGGTTCCTCATGAGTACAATTAAGCGTTCTGGAATTCCCGTTCCTCTCAATGTTATCCACAATTTGTTATGATCCACACAATTAAATGCTTTTGCAAAGTCAATAAAAGACAAATAAACATCTTTCTGGTATTCTTTGCTTTGAGCCAAGATCCATCTGACATCAGCAATGATATCTCTTGCTCTACATCATCAGAGGTGACGACAGAACAGAGCAGCAGCCAGAGTTCCTGGATAGAGTAGGAAAACACTGTAGAACAAAATTCAAAATCATTTAAAAAAAAAATGGGGGGGTGTCAAGTTTGTTGGTCTGATAGAGCTTGATAGAACCACTGAGACTATGGCCCCTAGCTACCCTTCAGGTCTGGAACTGAACTCACTCCAATGGCTTCCAGCCAAACAAAAGACAAGCACAGGAGGTGAATATTCACATTATATAGATACACTCCTTGGAGAGAACAATCATGGGAGAATAGAAGGGCTGTGTATGCACAGGGAGACAACTCAGGGGGCAGGAATGCCCGGAGGGAAGGGCATAGGGAAGAGGTAACTATGGAGAGGAAGTGGGAGGGGAACTGTTGCATTGTGGTAAATTGTAGTCAATGTCATGAGATAAAGTGTATGTAAGCTGCTATATGGAAAGTGAATTTGCTCTGCAAACTTTCACCCAAATCACAATAAAAAAAGAAAAAAAAAAAAAGATACATATGGTACTGTAGAACAAAGATTAAGAATGCCCAACCTCCCTACGTGTACCTCCCCCTATACAACATATACGATAATCCCACTCCCCAAACATAACCAATTACTTTCAGTTTGATTAATATTAACAACATGTATTAAGGACAAAAATCTCCCACACAAAATAAAATTTTGTTTTCATAAAAATAAAGTTTTAAAGTTTAATCAAATTGCACTGAAATTTTATTCCCAATATAAACCACCAAAATATTTGGTAGACGACTTCATATAAACATGCAGGGAAGAAAAGAGCTATATTTTAATATATACATCTATTTATCTATTTTTCCTCAATAATATGCTAAAAAATATATATTTAAAAGTGATTCAAAATGCCTTATAAAAGTATTAGCTTACTTTTTAATATAAAAGAATCTATAACTAAGTCTTGTGTATATGTGTGTACAATTCTACATACACACTCACATACATATCCACACACACATACTTGTACACGCATAGAACATTTCTGGAAGGCTATTCAATAAATGTTAACATGGCTGTCCTAAGAGTGTAACTGTGGTATTTGATGAGGGAGAAGGGGAAAGATTTTTACTTCTATACTAAATTAAAATATACTATTTTTGTAATAAAAATTTTTATTTTAAAATCCTACATAAGATGATTTCATAAATAGTATTAGAAGCATGCTTAATTTATTCATATACTGCAAATTACTCTCATTTCTATCAGAAGTGACTGGGATTTTATTTCCCAGTTATTTTGTTTTTTAAAAAATTATTTTTAAAAAATATGCTGCACTGATTAAAACATGTTATCAAAAACCTTAAAATGGTGCAATCACAAAACTCACAAAAGCAAATATACTACATTACATGCTAATATAGCTAGTCAACATCCATGCTAAATCTTTTCTCAATAAACACCATCAAAACATTTCTAAATGTTGGGAAAACAAAGAGGAAAAATGAAACTGAAGTAAATTTTATTTAGCATTTAAAGTAATATAATTCTTTAACACCTATGCGTGCCTTATTCTTTCGTAAATAGCATGCCCACGTAAATAAGTTGCATACACATATAAAACGCAGAAATGACAAAATTATGTTACAATGTTCTGGCATAGCGTGCACATGTATACACCATGCATTTCCTATGACATTTCCAGAAGTGAACCACAGCCTCTTTCACCCTCATTTAATACTCTCCAAAAATGTTACTTTTACTCATATCTGTATAATAAAGGTATAATCATGGTTAAAAAGTCATGGACTGAGATTGGTAGTACCCTGGTAACTGGAAAATAAACAATTGAAACTGTGCATTTGCTCTAGGGCAGTAGTTCCCCAGGCATGAGAGCATTCTATTTCTTTGTAGCCAATCTGTGTTCAGGCACATCATGGCGGAGGTGGGTGGAGGGCTGCCAGTGGAGCTGCCACAGCTCAAGTATGGGCCAGTCCTGTGGTGGGCATGGGCTGTTGCCCAGGCACATCCAGATCCTGTGGTGCTAGCCCCACATGAAGCTGGGCAACAGGACAGAGTGGGTGCAGGTGCACCCTGCCACCCTGGGGCAGTATAGGGCTCCCAGATGGCCAAATGGACCATCTC